AAAAAAAAAAACTGAATCTATAACAGTTCACGAACAACTTCAGCCACAAAATCAGAGAAAATAAAGAAGTAAATGAATAAAAAAAAAAAATTGAAGGACGAGTACAAACCTTGCAGGGACGGCCTTTGATAACAATGTAACCGTTCTTACGAATGGTCCCGGCCTGCTGGGGATAAGTCTTCGATGCGCCGGCGTCGGCCTTGGACTCGAAGTGATGCTCCTCGTCCGACATATCGGCGGTGATTGATTCTAGAGACGTATGCTTTTTCTTTTTATGATAGAGTGGAGAGCGAGCTGAATGGAGATGATTAGGGTAGAGGAAATCTATATATATCTAGAAAGAAAATTGTAAATTTGGTCCCAAAACTTTTTTTGTTTCCTATATTTGGTCTCAGGCACGTCTCATCTTTTTTAAATTTTTGTTGCAACAGTACCACTCCGTCAATAGTTAACATTCTACCACAGTGAACGTTAGTCGTTATTTTTAATTTGGAGAAAATTACAAAATTGGTCCTAACACTTTTGTTGTTTCCCACATTTGGTCCAAAGTAGTTCGAGAAGAAAAATCGAACTGTCAAAATTAATAATTATGCGAAATGAAACTCTCGTCTTCTCCGGTTATTCACAAAATTAAACTCAAATCCGAAGGCATGGTCCCCAGAAGATGAATCCATACAAAACAAAAACTCGTCCCGAGTCATTCTACGCACGATTTACTCGATTCAAACTCTATTGTTTTCCAAATACACGTGCAAAAAGCTATAGATGGTCTACTCTAACATATAATAAGCAAATAAAAACAAAACCACATAGCCAACTCCCCATTTTTTTCTTTTTTTTTTTATATATGAGTAAATTTTTCCAAATGAGAGTCGTTAGAATGATTATAACATTGGTTTATCCTCGGAGTTTGTCCCCGAATCTCCCAGTCCGGTTTTCCGTACTCATTGCCCTCGATTTATCTCGAAAGAGACTAACCGGATCAAACGGAGTCTAATCCTTTCAACTCTCATGGGCTCATTTTTATTAATTTTTTTTTTCCCGTGAGCTTCTTTTTCCAAACGAGTTTTTCGGACGATGATTATCTAGGTTTAACCTCGAGGGGTTTCCTCGAGTTTCCTCGACCGGTTTTTTGGGATAATTATCTCATTTCACGAAGTGAATCGAAATAATAGGAGCTTAATCCGTACTTCCTCGCGAACTCACATTTGATTATTATTTTTTTTCGAAGGGAGCGGCACACAAGGATACATCACGATACAATACATTAACATCAACAATCAATCAAGACGTACCACAAGTGTATAGCATAACACGATTACAAAGATCGAACGCAAGGAAAGAATGTTTCAAGATCACCAATCGAGAACAAATAAGGGACAAAATAATTCCGTGAATTCTAATGTGGGTTCCAATGCCAACAAATCATCATTTAATTTTAAGGAAACCATCAAATTCATCAAGTACATAAAGCAAGAAAATTAACAATGATACCGAATGACAATCTTAACTCACCGCTTAGCCATCTTGGCTTTAAACAAACCTCAAGCTTTCATGTGGGGAAATCGACATAAACACAAAAACAACAACAAAAACCGGTCCACGACACGACAAATATGAAAAATAAAGCACCTAATACGAAAGAAATACCGCCTAAGCATTCATGATCACGAAAATCCCTCTCCCACACTTAAAACAAAGCAATGTCCTCATTGCTTGACCGAAAAGCATAGGATAGACCACATAATCACAAAAGCTCATGCGAGAAAAAATCCAAAAAACAATAAATGAAAATAAGAAAATAAAAATCACGAACACAAGGAAAGAAACAAGAGAAAAAAGAAAATAAGGAAAAGAAAGCCCGTACACTACACGGTGTGTCCAATGATGTTCTTCCGGTGGAAATAGAGAAAATAAACTAAAAATCCTCGAGTGTAAAATAAAGCCATCCGGACGATTGTACAATAAAATCATATTGATCCATAAGTCAACCGAACACTATGACATTTGAAAGCGTAAGAGAGGTCAAGAATCCCGCTACCCGGTCTCGGTTAAGGGCCACATGTATGCGTCTCGGAGAAATGATAACGGTGAATCCACAAACTCGACAAAGACACAAGTATGCTTGAAAGATCAAAAATAGGGCCCGAAGTAGCCAATAATATTCTCCTGGGACTGTGGGAAACAACAAAAGTTTTGGGACCAAATTTGCAATTTTCTTCAAATTAAAAATATTGACTAATGTCTTAATGAAGAAAACTGTTAAAGTCTTGACGGAGTGGTACCGTTTTGGCAACGAAAATTTAAAAAAGACCATAGTTGACGTGCATGGGACCAAATTTGAGAAACAGAAAAAGTTTTTGGATCATATTTGCAATTTTCTCTATATCT